AGGTTACCACTGAGTTGACTCGGTTTGTGCCATTGATATTTTTTAGCTGTGTATTGCCGAAGTAAATCCTATGTATAATTTATACCTTCCAAACACGAAACACTGAGGCATAATTTACAACTGTCTGCAAATTTTATATATGTATAATTGCAATACATCTCCCGGGCCACATCCTCAGCTACCATAAGCAGGAACAGCATTACTGACTACAATGAAGCCACTGTGATTCACATCACTTAAGAAGCTGGCCGTACCTCCTTATCTGGCTCGTTGTGGATGATGGACTCTGAAAAGAGCCGCGGTTTTCTTCTAACACAGTCGGGGCTCCTGTGTCTGAATGAATTAGGACTAGAGCTATAGAAGAGTTTTCTTTCGCCCTGTCTCTTCACTCCATGAACTAGGATGCGAGGCTCAAAGAACGTCATGTCAATGGGGATCTGGGTGACTCTGCCAAGTTCATGGCAGAGCACTTCTTACAGGGCACAAAGCGCTTTGGAACAGGCGCTGTCTCTTTATTCTGGGCGTGCACAGCCCCTAGCAGAGCTACAGACTGGCACTCCTAAATGGTGCAAGCAATGCAAACACACAAATCACTACCATTCAGCCTGTCTCACTCCCATCACCTGGAATTCTCTTAACTCTAATGGTAATTGGACTTGATCCTTAATGCAGCACTGGGCGGTTTTAACAATTAACCCTTGACAGATGCCCATCTGCAGCTCTCAGGCTTGGTCTTCCCTCCTGCTATACATGATGCGACCCAGGTCCAGTTCATGATTCTCACCTGACACCAGTGGCTCCAGGAAGTTATACTGGATTCATGCTGGCATACGGATGTGATCCAAAGCCCACTGAAAGGGGAAACTCCTCCCGATGTCAGTGAGCTTTTTATCAGGACTTAGTCAGCATTCAGCTTGTAGGATTCTAGGTCTTCCACTGTTCCCACCTCACTTGTCCTTGTCCACTCAATGCTATTTACCACCCTGGTGAGAGCATTGTCTTCTCTGCAATCCAGACTTGTAGTAGAGATGATATCTTTTCTTTGACCAACAAGATTGTTGTAAAAAAAATTCTTTAACTGCAAGCTTTCGGAAGCTTGCAATTAAAGATTTTTTTTTGCAAAAACTTTGTTGGTCTAAGAAAAGATATCTCTACTACGAGTCCTGATTGGCTTTTCCTCTAGACAAATACAGCTACAACTTGGATACTTGTCTTCTCTGCAGCATTCCTTTATCAAGAACAACCTTCCTCCCTTCCTGACTCCATATCTTATTTCAAATCCACCTTCTTTCTTATCTGTCCTTCCCTCACTCCCCTCCCACTGCTTATCTTAACCTTGCAATGCAACTGCAAATCATCAGAGGGTGAAAGGTGCTCCTTACAGTAAAGTGGCTTGACATTATGGACAGTTTTTCCTCAATCCATTTCTTAGCCAATAGCGGTGGTTATTTTTCTGAGAGTCTATAAGAAAATAAAACTACAAATATTATCACCAATTATTTTTCCAAAGGCAGCTGAGAGAGTAGCTAGACTATGGGTAAACCTATAAATCAAAGAGCTAAGACAAACACGGAGGCACAAATGCAAGGATACACTTGCCCTCAATTGTACTGTGGTTGCCTCTGTCTGGCCTCTTCTATATTTTGTGTGGAAAGTCAGTCTTGGACCTCACTCATTTGACCACATTTTTTATTTGAATCTACCTCCTTTGACTACCTCTGGGTACTTCCACTATGAGGACAATCTGTGTGATGTGAGCAAGGCAGCCTCTCAAAACTGGGCTACAGTTGTCACATGCTTTTCATACAGACTAGCAAGCGACCCTCCCACCGTAGCGCCCGAGTCGGTCTGGTCTGTGTGGCATTCAGATCTGTAGCTGGAAAAGTAACCATCTAGATACTTCATAGCGGGAAGTGGGTTTTGTGCACCAGTGTTACTGGATGGCTATACATCTTCCATGAAGACACTCTGGGCTGGACTCACTGTTGCCTTCCCCCCTCAAAAATTCACGTGCACCTCCAGGTGCAATACACAATTACGGTAGAGACTGGGGGCTTTGCAAAGTTCCTACCTCCCCTGCAAAGAAGTGGGTTTGTGAACTATCTGGGGATATACAGAGCTGCAGCAAACGCCTGTAGGAGATGTTCCCTCAGAGCAAACAGCTAAGCAGCTCATCCGTAATTCAACACACTGCTGCAAATTAAGTGTTAATTAATTTAAACAAGATGTGAATGAAGTGGCTTGTGAACCACCAAGATAGGAACAATCTGGATCCCGCTTTGGTTTAATTTGGCACATCTTCCCCCAGTTGTAACCGGCTGTAGCTGAAGCAGAGCCCTGGGAAATCAGGTCCCGTGTGAAGACTTTCAGAGGCTCATTATGTGGTTTCCACATGGGGCTAGATCCTCAGTGGGTGGAAATCAGTGTAGCTCTATGGAGTTACATTGCTTGATGCCAGTTGATGGTCTGGCCTAGGCTTTGTATCCACTGCATTTCTAAAATCAAAATATTCCATGGGTGGAGAAGGAAGAAATACCTGCATGAATTCTTGCTTGGGGAAGCTCATCTCCATCTCCTGCTTACAACACTGAAGTAGCTCTTTTCTTTCTACCCCTTTCCCTGGGTGAAAATATTAGTAGCAACCAAGCAACGAGCTCCAGCCTCACTTTACAATTTGGTAGCTGTCACCTTTGGCTTTGAAAGCACTTTATCTTGCATTATGCTATGGACTCTTTGATTCCCCTGTTTCAGATTAAACTGTCCCACCTGGGAAAAAAAGCAGCTTGATCTTTGCGCCCTTTTGTAGCGCTGCTTGGTTAATACATTTTTCTCGCTCCTTCTCATCTCACCCAAACCCGGCAGTCTCAGTCCTTGTCCAGTATCTGGCTGCAAATGGGAATTAGATATGGGTAAATCAGTTGAGGCTGAATCCAGATGTGACGTTGGTAATGGTGGTGGTCAAACAGAACGACTTGTAGTGAGCAACGCCAACCTGCTCACCAGCGGCTTTCATTTCAAGATGTGATGTGCCCAGCTGATTTTCCAGAGCAAGTTGAACTGAGTTAAAGCCCAAAGCTCTGAGGTCACTCCTCATCCCACAGGGTTATCTCATTTTTTTCTAGCACCCTCTCATCTGTCTGGCTCCACCTGTTGCCCCTCGCCTCAGCTCTTGGGAAAAAGGACTTTCTCTCTTCTATCTGTACAGCATCTAGCACAATCGTCCACGACTGGGGCTCCTAGGTGCTACGGCATTACATACAACAAAGCTCTGCACTTGCTGAAGATCAGGCCCATTCTGAGCGGGCACCTAAAACTTGTAACAGCAACACCCCAGGACACTTCAGAAAACTAGGTTACAATGACATTCAGGGTCCTCTAGCTGTAAGGCCTATAGACTCAAAACCTTGCAGACTTGTACCTTATTAATCAATCATGGTATGTGTGATGGTACAATTAGCCTGCCCCGGTGCAGCGTTAGTGAGCGGTACAGCTCTGTAGAACATCTCCTGCAATTCACTCCGCCACCAGCATCTGAAAACCGAGGGCTCAATCTTAGAGCCAAATTTATTGTACCTAACCCGGCCTTCAACCACACGGCTTGACTTAGCTTTGGAGGGTTGCATGTCAACATGTGAGGCCCATCAGAAAAACCCAAGATTTCTGTTGCTCAAATAAAACCAATGCCCGCAGACAACTTCAACCTCCTGTCCCCACAGTTCACAAAACCAATGTGGAATTTATACTGGTAAACCAGTGTCCCCTGGCCACAACCCTATAGGGTCCCAACTCAGGAAACAGTAACTACTCCAGCCACAATGCTGAACTCCGCTGCTTGGCTCTCAGCAACTAAAACAGTGATTCTCAACCTGGGTACCATGACACCCTGGGGTGCCTTAAGATCCTTTCAGGAGTGCCGCAGGATGCCACGCAAGGTTAGGTGTGCAAACATGCTTCACAAGATAAACTCATAGATTTCAAATAGAAATCCAGAGCATTAAAAGCTTTCCAACCTGTTGTGCTATTTCTGAGTTGTTTGCAACAAGAGAATCGCTCTAATATTTTTCTGTAGTTAAAAAACAAGTGAAAGCTAAGGGCTGGCATTTCCAAGAGGTGCCTCAAGCCTAGTGAGGTCAGCCTCGAGTCTAACACGGTTGAGAAACACCAAACTAAACACTTCCCGCCTTCCTTCCAAGCTCTAAGGGAGGGTTGGAAATATTGTTTGTCTAGCTCAGCTCTTCTCATTAGGACTAGTACATAGGACTGGACGGGATCTCTTGGACCATCAAATCCAGACCCCTGCATTCACAAGCAATCATTTACCTAAGGGTCCCCAAAATCACCACTGCCAACAGTTACCCACAACTACAAAGTGCAGCACTCAAAATGCCAGCACCGCTGCATAATGTGCCATAGTTAAAAACCGGGGCGACAGAAACTGCCAATGCCTTGCCATTGCAATGACAGGGAAGTAGATGGTTAATATAGAGGATCTAGAAGAAAGGACCATGCCCCATGTTACAGAGGAAGGTAACAACGGTAACTCCCCTGTCCCCCAATCTGTGCCGATCCAACCAAGAGAAAAATTCCTTTCCTGCTCCAAACGTAGTGATTGCCTTGACTCTGAGTGGAAAACCAAGATCCTCCCTAGCCAGAAATCTTTTCTCCAATGCCCGATGAAGGGTGTTTGTGCCCGAAAGCTTGCAATTAAAGAATTGTTTTTTGCAAAATTTGTGTTGGTTTAATAAAAGATATCATCTCCACTATGAGTCTTGATTGCCTAAGTATCAGTAGGAGCCTCTGTGCAGTCCAGTCAACACCCCCTCCCCAGCCTTAGCTTTGTCTCATGGACACAGTGACAGGTGCAGATCAGTGTAACTGTCCCAATCCTGAATGCAATTTGAGGGACCAGCTTCCCCAATTCTGGCCCTAATCTCCCCCCGTTTGTGTTTACGCAGCATTACGTGCACATCTGTGTCTATGTGTAGACCGGCGAGTCATACCTCTTTCAGAACTAGCACGCATTTGCCAGGTCCGACAGACTGAGGTAGCTCTGCTATTCTCCCCTTGTTTAAATAAGGACCTGAGAAGCAGCGGTGGTTGATGAAGAGCTGGGGGCAGCAGTATCTTCCATTGATGGTACCTGCAAGGAGACAGAAACATTGCCAAGTGTTTTCACCCAAGAAAACCAAAAGTGCCACTTCTTCCTGCTAGATGGTGGCAACCCACCCCCCACCCAAAATCTTCTGAGAGATTCAAGCCCTTGCTAATAGGATGAGGCCCCCAGGTGAGCACTCAGGGTTTAAACAGGGTGAACCATGAGACTGCTAAATGGAAATCAATATATCTGAGTGTCCTACTAGAGGTGACTATCTAAGGGAATCGAACACTATTGTGCGTGGCTCTTACGTGGATCGTGTAACCAGAGTATCCGAGTGCCTCATGCTTGTTAGTCTGCAAAACACTCCTGAGAGGTAGGACAACAGTTTTATTCACGTTCTCCACATGAGGAACCATGGCAGGAAGAGACTGGCACTAAATTTCCGGTGGCATTTAGAACTGTAAAACTCCAACCTAGGCCCAGCCTACCCTAGTAGGCACCTAAAGTCCCTCCCTCCTGACCAAAAATCTCACCTCTAGATTCATAGATGCTAGGGTCGGAAGGGACTTTAGTAGGTCCTCGAGTCTGACCCCCTGTCCTGGGCATCAGAGCGCTGGGGTCAGACGACCCAGCCAGGTACTTGCTCAGTCTCTTGAAGACCCCCAAGGTAGGGGCGAGCACCACCTCCCTTGGAAGCCCATTCCAGATTCTGGCAACCCTTATCATAAAGAAGTTTTTCCCGATGTCCAACCTAAATCTGCTCTCCCGTCAATTTGTGGCCATTGTTCCTAGTTACTCCAGAGGGTGCCCCAGTAAACAGAGCATCTCCTATTCCCTGCTGCCCTCCCCTGACGAATTTATAGGCAGCCACAAGATCACCTCTCAGCCTTCTCTTGCAAAGACTGAAAAGATCTAGGTCCCTCAGTCTCTTCTCACAGGGCCTTGCCTTCAGTGGCCTCCTCTGGACCCTCTCAAGGTTGTCCACATCCCTCTTGAAGTGCAGCACCCAAAACCAGACGCAGTAGTCCAACTGCAGCCTGACCAGTGCCGCATAGAGGGGAAGTACCACCTCCCTGGACCTGTTCCTCATGCACCTGCTAACGCACGATAAAGCGTGGTTAGCTTTGTTGATGTGTAAAGTCATCCAGGTGCACAACTTTCTGCATGCACCCAATTGCCCCAGTCCTGAGGCACTGAGCAGTGAGGTGCCCAGCTCACAACCAAACCCAGGGATTCACTACATGTGTTGCCTCTCCCACCCCAACTATGGGGCCAGGTCTGGTGGGTGCCACACTGAAGGTAGCCAAGAGGAGAAGGTAGTCCATTTTGCCCAACAACCTAGCATTTGGGTGTTCATATGTGATGTTGGAGGGGTTGAAAAGCCTAACCATAGGTAAGACAGTACGTTGGGGTGGGCAGGAAACTCTCTCTGTTTTTCCTACTGAAGTGGCTCCACATCATGTAATGTTATGTTAATGTTTAATGGAGACAGGAATGGATACCAGCTTTTCCAACTCCCAGGTAAAGGTCCTAATCCCTGAACTATAAAGCCATTCTCTCTCTCAAGTCTAAAGACTATTTATTTATTCCATGCAAAGTGGAAAAGTCTCAACAAGGAAGATGGAGGGAGTTTCACCCCAAAGGCCCCACGGTCTGGAAGTAAAGTACTCACCTGGGTGAGTCGGTTCAAGTCCTCTGCTTTGACAGGACTTGAACACACCTCGAGTAACAACCCTAACCAAGAGGCGAGGGGGTAAAGAGGTGGGACTTAAGCCAGACCCCTGCCCTCCATGTTTCCTCCTAGCTAGCTCGCTGACTTCTGTGAATCCCATTCTTAGGTACCTGGCTCTTCTTCCCGGGGAGAGCCACCTCCACTATATAGAGAGCTGTAGCAGAGATGCGAACCCCACTAGGAAGCAGGGCATGTTAAAGTCAGTGGCTGCATCACCTCAATCCCTCTTAGGGATCTAAGCCAAATGACTTGGCCCAAGTCACAGACGACGTGTGAAGTACAGCAAACTGAAGTCACGTCTCCAGGATCCCAAGCTGATGCACTAATCCCTGGACCATCCTTCCTCAGCAAGTTTTCCAGGGACCTTGCACACCAGCTGGCAAAATGCTCATGTAGGACCAACCCATTTTCCCATTTAGTTTCATGTCAGGATATATCCGGAAGGGCTGCAAGGTCTGAATGGGGGTACTCTCTCACTGGGTGGGTGAACTGCGGACTTGAACGATACCAAGGAGCCCAGAGTAGGTACACTGTAATTGTTCCACAGCTTTGGGTGAGAAGGACATCCACCTGACTTGGCCAGACGACTGGTTGGCCTTTTGTCACATTCGATATTTTAATCAGAGCTCGTCTCCTCACTGAGTCAAATCTCTGATGTTTCACCTTTTTTCTGGCCCTTTTACCCTCGCTGTCATCTTCCTCAAGTCCTCCACTGAGGGAACAGGTTGTCAGGGCACTGTCCACAAAGCCAGGATCTTCTGATTTTCAATGAAGACTTGGCTTCATGGCCTACAGAATCTGCCTCAGTGTCCCTATCAGTAAAATGGGAGTTAAACTATTTAACTAGCTACTGCAAAGATCTCACAGGAATAGTGGGAGGGTTAGTCCGAAATATTATCACGTCTTCACGCACAGTATAGAAAGAAAAGATGATAAACTCACTTCAGCCCGTATGTTTAAGATACCCAGCCAGAAGAGAGCTTGAAGATGCTTCTTTCACACAAAAGGGTTTCACAACAGGTTTCTTTGTAACGAACTCTCCGAATATCAGCTACAGAAATATCCGACCATTATGAAAGGACAAAGCAGAACTTGCTTTGGTTAAGAAGAGTTGAAGTGCCACACAGAGAGCATTGAGTAGAGGTACTAGGATACATCAAGCTCTGGTGTGAACGGTGTGGTGCCATTGATGCCGATAAGAAAAGCTCCATCTGTTTCCTCTGGGGCTTAATTTGGCCCAACACTAATGGGAGTAGGACTGGACTCTTGTACTTCTAAAACCCTGAGGCAGAGCTAGATATCTGAAGAGAGCGATAACATGCTCACCAGTCCAGATCAGCAGCTGATGTAAAGCAGCATTGCTCTACCGACAACAGTGGAATCGCACTGACTTAGAGCAGCTGAGGATCCGGCCTGGGAAGAGTCTCCCTCTGTATAGATATATGCATGTTTTGCCATCAGTGTTTCCCCATCTCTACAACCCAAGGAAGCTTGAAGTAGCGGAGATCCTTCCTGGCTGCTGCGCAGACTTACCTGTCGTGTCTGGCTGAGGAACCGGGCAAAGGTCATGAGGTATTTTCTCAACAGGCACTGTGGAAGGCAACCTGTTTAATGACAATACAATACGCTTAATCTCACAAGCCTACATGATAGATCGTGGATCGGGGTCTGAGCCGTTTGGGTTTGGTGCCATACCCAACAAAGATTTGATAACAGGGCAGCTAGACGGGGACTCAAACACAGTCGCTTTGGGCATTTGTACACGCCACGGGAGTTTATTTTGGTTTAATTTTCCCTAAATTGAAGCGGGGGGGGTCTTTAAAAACATTGCTTCAATTTAGGGCAAAGTAAACACCCATGGTGTGTACACAACGGTTGGGCCCGACCCCTACCTCCCTCTCCAGTGGCAGGGAGGGGAAGGCAAGCTGCCGGCGGCCGAGTGGTCCCTGAGCTGCCGGGTGGGAGGGATGCCTGCACAGCCCTGAGATACACGGGGCCTGGTGCTTTCCTCCATGGCAATCTAAAGCACCTTGGAGATGTTTTATTTTGCTGCATCCCAAAGTCATTTAACATGCATTACGCCGCTGACGCATGCAAACATCCTGCCATTAAAGCGTGTTGCGCTGCCGACATGTGCACACAGCCGCACCATTAAAGTGGTGCAAAAGGGCATTAAGCAGCTTTAAAGGCCAGTTTTGTGGCATGTGCAAATGGCCTATAACACAACCCTATTTCCAGCTAAAAGTACTATGTTGTCTTATGGTCAAGGGCCCACCTTTTCCAAAGCTTGTAAGAAAGTTGTTGCAAAATTATGCTGCCAAATGGGAACCTGGAATATCCAGCCTCTAAGGCTATAATGACCTTACACCGTGGACAAAACACCAATTATTGCAGCAAGTAACCAACTATGTCTGCGGAAAGCCTGAAACATGAGCTCAAAAGCCCCTGACCAGTCCCACTGGTCTCACCCAGGGCCCCGCGGATGGCAGGGGTCTTTGTGACTAGAGATGCCAGCATTGCCACCGAATTCACAAAGTCAAGTTACAGGTCAGACGTGACACAGGGTAACATTTTGTAACGGCCTGTGCACAACGCTGCTTCCTGTATTTCTATAACAGGTCCCTCCCCACTGATCCACCTACAGCTGATGGCTCAAATGATCTCATTTATTATTTCCCATGCAAAATCTTCTTCATCTCTATAGCAAAGGCATTTTTTAAAAACAAACTTACTGCTTTTCTGGCTGCACAACTGCAATCTTTCTCTTCTTTCGCACTGCAAAACAGGAGAGCAACAGCGAATTTGGTTTTTTGTATTCAGCCCTCCCAGCGTATCAAACCAGTAAGATATGATCTGTCTTATAAATGCAATGGGTATAAAATAACATTTAACACAACGAAATGCTATTTCATTACCGCCACCATTTTTTCTTTTATATTTTTAAGCAAGCCACTACACCATTTAAAATTGTATTAAAGATGCCATAGCACATTTAATCTGTCCACGGCGATGCTAAGTCTATGTTTATGGGATCTGTATTTTTACAAAAATACACTAAAATAAAACACAAATATTTTTCCTGTGCAAGGACACATCTGAGTAAGAGTACACTTCGCAAGCGTGATTACTCCCAGCCTAATTTGTCCCTATCTATAAATTGAGATATAAAGACTGCGCAATGTTGCCATAGCAGTATTCTCCCAAATTAGGTCTGGCTGCCTGATGTTCAATGCGAGCATGTTTAACTCTTCAAAAGGGCTGACACATTTTTAAATTTGCCTTTCAAATGTTAATTAATATAAAAGCAGCGCAATGGTAATTTTTCAGCTTGTGAGTTGAGATCTGCCTGACTTGCAGCTTGATAAGACGTGATCGTGGGATCTCAGCCTGTAGCTTGTGACCACGTCCACAAGACATCCAGGGAGGGGGAAAGACCCTGTCCATACTGGCACCTGGTCATATCTCTATCTTCCCCTCCTCCCCACTGCGTTGGCTGTCTTAACCCTTTTTTCCTACCCGTCTCCCATAGCTCCCACCTATCATGTCTGTCTTCATTATGGCATTGTGTGGAAGTACTCTAGGGAACTGCTTCCTGGTCCCACCCCACTCTGCTGCTGAGACACAAATGAGAAGATTTTGCTATGAGATAGTGACAGCCATCTCATTCCTGGCTACCTCTCTTCCCCGGTGTTGCACACCCGTTGCCCTTCTCCCTCCACCCCTCTACCCCTTAGGTCAACTACAATGGGAACGGCAGAGATGCGATCGAGTTCAAGAGAGCTGTGCCTGTCACACCAGATGCACAGAATGGAGTGGAAACACAGAGCACTTTTACACGTGCCCCAGGGGTGCAGGGTTGGGGGGGCGGCACTTTAATTAGAGCAGCTCCAAGAGCCGCTCTAATTAAAGCGCCACAACAAATTGTGCATCAGCATCCCCACATTTCAAAACAGTGGCAGGGGCACTTTATCTAAAGCTCATTCAACAAACTTTAGTTCAAGCCCCCCTGCCGCCGTTTTAAAGTGCGGGGATGCTGATACACGAGACACAGAGGCTGCCTGGAGCACGGTAATTACCGTGCTGTAATTACAGCCTGTCGGAGCAGCCTCCGCATTCATGTATAGGCAGCCATACAGCCTCAGTACTGAGAAGTGGCGTTAGGCTCTCAGAGCCAGAAATCATAGTTTGCTGCTTCATTTACCAAATGAGAGGGTTATGGGCATGAGTAGGACAAACTTTCCATACGGTCCCCCATGAGCCTCAATCCTGCCCAGGAGCAGGAAAGTCTACAGGTAGGATTTTCCAAAGGGCTTAAATGAATTAGGGGCACAAATCCCTTTGGACGTCAATAGGAACTGTGCTCCTAACTCAGATACTTAGGAACGTCCCATCCATCATCACTTCTCTGCGTCACCCAATTCTTGTCTCAGACATTATGTCTGCCATGTATTCTAAACAGCTTACAAGTGAGTTTAAGGTCTCGATGGGTGAGAAAGCATAAAAATAGATTCTGCTATGGCCAGGTTGGAAACACCCAAGGCCAGATCCTGCAATCCTGACTCACATGTGTATTTCTTACCCAGGGAAACAAATACATTCTTAAAGGGACTGACTGATGCACCGGTACTAGCCACTCAATATCAAGGTTGTAGAGTCTAGCTAGGTAGACTGGTAGGCAGGAGCAGGAGATTAAATAGATGAGACAGGCTTGTGGTTTCATGTACTTACGAACTGCTTTGTGGGGTGGTATTAGGTTATAAGCATTTGCTTCACACCAGCCAACTGGGAAAATGTCCATAGACTCTACATCAACTATATACTCCGGAGAGGGCATCTGTAAACCTATAAACACAAATTTATAATGCAATTTAAGCACAGGACGACTGAGCTCAGAGCAGCTTGAACATTCATTACCAAGCGAAGGGAAGAAATGATGGAACGCGTAAAAATAAATCCGCTGCTCCAAAAAGAGATCAGGCATCATTTCATCTTCAATTTCATACGGAGAGAAATGATAAGGCCGGCGCATTTAAAGTGCAATGCGATTCCAGAGAAAGCCTGCATTAACTGAATGTTAAGGGCATACAGGTAAGCCATCAAAAGCCAGCAAGGATGTGAACTATTCCCCACACTCACACAACAGGGGGGCCTGACATAAGTCCCTTTATTCTTAGATTTATTGACTGAAAGCAGGGCTGTTCGGCCTCAAAGTGGATGGGGGCTCCACCCTGCACAAATTATACCAGTGGGGACAGCACAGGACATATCGGTGTGACACATGAGTCCCCCAGGTCCCACCAGCTTGAGCTACGGGGCCCCCAGACCACACACTGTATGGGCAGGTGGACCCCTGCTGCACCGGCTCCCACACTGGGTTCCCAACCATGGGCTCCCCCACTGCACTACACCACATGGGTGCCCAGGCCTCAAGCTCCCCCAGCACCATGGGCTGCCCTGTGCGTTGCCCTGGGGCAGGGCAAGAAGAGGAATCTGGAGGGAAGGGGAGTCTGGAGCCCCGAGCTACTGCTGCAGCTGGAGTGATAGGTAGAGTGGCAGCCACATGGGCGGCTGGGGACCACAACTTAACCCCTTGTGGGACATGCCCGCTGTGACAGACTCCATGGACCCGCTAGGACTTCTCCAGTGCTACTGACCTTAGATGAGAGGTAGTTTTGTGAAGGGTTGCAGTGTGGGACAGACAGGCAGACAGGGAGACCATGGTGTGAGGTATGACATACATAAGCAGACAGACAGGGTGATCTGGCTGGATCTCATGCATACCTACCATGAGCTATAAATTTCACCCAGCTATTTCTGCTCCTGGACCATAACTTCTGATTCAGCTCTACCATCTCGTGTATACAGCTATAAAACGAGATAAGCTCTCCACATGAAGCTCTTTCATAAGACCTGCTGTCGGGATTGAAAACCCCTCTTTAGGGGTCTGATCCCAAACCGAGGGAAGTTAATGGGAAGATTGCCCTGGACTTTAGTGGCTTCTGGGATAAAGCCTGTGCCCTCAGTCAGGACGCTGCTAAATTACTCTACCTATGCCATGGAGCTTGACCAAGGAGTTCAGTTCCCACTTGCTTCTGCCGCCTGTGACTGTGTACCCCACAACAGAGGATGCTGACAGTCTTTGGGACCACAACAGCATCCCTGTCTCCTGCTTTGTACAGCGCTACTCAACAGTGCCTAGAGCTAGCCGGCTACAGGGACCTTTCCAGGAATGAATGTTCATTGTGGGCCAGCCGCATAATGCAAACTTGGTAACAGCAGCATAGTCCAGGCTGAGTCACGGTGCTTGAAGGAGTCGGTGCCTTCAAAAGCAAAGCCTCTGCATCTGGAAACACATGGTCTAACGCACACAGAGATGCAAAACGGGCAGGAAAACACCCAGAGACTCATATATCTGGGCAGAGAAAATAAATCAGTGTTGCCTAGATGCTCCTGAAGCCCCTATGAGAGCACCTCACAACCTCATAAAAGTCCCCAGGATGTCCGCTCCCAATTTTACAGGTGGGAAATTGGGGCACAGGATACCTGGCACAACTTGCCCATGGTCAAATGGGGGAATATGGGCAGGTATTTCCTGTCCTGGGCTACAATATGTCCACTGAAAATCCTCCCTCTCCTGATAGCCGTTTACCAGTAATAATGCTGCCAGCTGGTCCAGGGCCTGTTTTAACGTTTATAGGATCTTATCTCATCATATATAACATCTATCCCAATCCCCACAACATAATCCAACTCAGGAGATGAGTAAAGTCATTGGACCTTAGCTTGAGCCCTAAACCCGTAGCAAGATTCAAGAAATCAACTCCACGCAGGATCAATGCCTGAAGTCTGAGTAGAGGCAGGACATCTCTTACTTTCATCATTACAATTGCTCTATGATGTTATTCTGGTCCAATGCGTAGATCAGATGTCTTTTCTGCTTACAAACACTAACAGATACCACACTGAAGTTTGATCATAAAAGTTTACAGCTTCGGCCACCCCAAATGGCAAAGAGGTGCTGCAATGTTTCTCCCCTCGCACTACCACAAAGGCATATACCTCTAACAGTGCTTCATACAGCTCGGCTTTTAACCTGAGCAGCCAACAGCGCTGCCATTTGCTCCCTGCGCCTTCCTGCCTCACTTCACTTGGACCATATAATTGGAAATGGTCTGTTTGTGATTTCGGGTGGTTTGATTCGTGTATTTTACCACCACCATCTTTACAGCGCACCATACCGCTGCTGAGACTTGGGAGATGAAAAATAAAAACAGAAGAGAAGAAGAAGAAAAGGAAAATTTCCAGTTTCCGTTCCACGTATGACTTGGCTGTGCAATTTCAGCGGCATTTTCTTTTCTTTCCTTTTCTTTTTTTCTGGGACATGTTAACACAATTTTTCCCTGAAAATTTATCAGCATGATTTTTTATTTTACTGCACCACTTTCTGGTTGTAGCCTTCCTTGCCATGTCGAGCATATACCTTATTGCTTATATAAATTCAAACCAGAAAGATCCAGGTTTTAAACGGAAAATGAGCTAGTAAAAATTAACAGTGCAGATCATGAGTAATAACTCCAAAAGTGAGCCAAAAGAGATACGAGACACATAGCCTCCTATCAACCCTGGGTCTTTTTCCTCCTCTGCTTTGGGTGAACCATACTGCTTGCTCATTAAATGCTCACCATGGAGTTTAGAGAGTTTTGCTACTGTACAAAGCGTGATTTATTAAGCAATGTTCCCTCATGTCTGACTCGATGCTGCTTAACTACTGCATCCAGTTTTACAGTCGCCCTCTTTGCTGTCAAGCTACAGAACTGGAACGGCAGCTAGGAAGGCCATGATGAAAGGAGGGACCACAGTGTCTGGCACCACAGAGCCCCAGTCGGGATGGGAGCTGCTATCCGAATATAAATAACAACTTCGGAAAAGGCAGAGAGGGACTGGTGCCCCGCACGCCCCAAATTACATTTTTTTCCATGACAGGAAGGAGTAACCAAAATGCTCGGCCTTGACCTGCCTCTGTTCCCATACAAGTCAATGAGTTTTACCACTGATCTCACCAACTGCAAAGTCATCTTCTTTTTATCATCATCAATTGAGTATTTTCAGTCCTTTTTTTTTTTCCTTAAAACAAACCCAATCAATCCCAAGACTCAATATATAACACGAACACAGTCCCATACTCAAGAAAACAAGAGACCTGGATTCTAGTCCTGACTCCACCATTGGTTTCCTGTGCAACCGTGGCTGGATCCGTGTCTGTTTGCTACCCTACAAAATAATGACCCCCATCCCTACTTTGGAGAGTGCATAGCAATCAAATGAAAGAAAAGCAAGATATTAGATGGACTTTGGGTCTGATCCAGCGTGACAATCCCTTTGTCCGATGGCAACCTATGTAGCATGCATAAAGACTGTAGTTTTGTATTAAGTTTAAGCTCTTCTATGGTGTAGACCTTACTCTATCATTCCTGCACGACACCTAACACAACAGGGCTTGCTCTGGACATTGCCACAGTATAAATGATAAAGGCCAGACCTTCAGCTGGGATAAATCTATGCAGCTCCACTGACTATAATGATATTAAGCTTCAGATCAGGGCCACAGAGCAGAGTCAAAGTTTGGATACTTGTAAACGTACTGATTTCAGCCAGGGATCTAATTCAGTGAAAAAAAGGTCTTGAATGACTAAGTGTAGCTGGTAAGCTACACTCACTTTCCTAAGTTGTTATTTAGGACAGTGCACAGACTTTAATGCTCCTGTTTTGCTAGCATCCCCTGGGGTTTTCTTGCTTTTATATGAAGCCGTGCTAATGTAAGGACCCCATTGTGCTAGGTACTGTACATGCTTGCGCTCAGTTTGTAACTACAAATGTCTGTGGTGCGAGCAGCCTCGCATTGTAAAATAATACGAGTTAAGAGGTGACCAAATTAAAACACTTTAGAACAGCAGATCACAACCTTTTTAGACTCAAGGCACCCTCCATAACTTGTGTGAATTGAGCAGCGCCCCATTTCCTCACACCTAGCTTATGTCCTCATACCTTGGGGCACCCTTCAGTGGATCTTGCAGCATCCTAAATGTAACCTGGCACCCTGGTTGAGAAATCACTGCTCTAAAGCAGCAACACCGTACTGAGAAACAATCCCCGAGCTCTAACTTACAGGACAGAAAGCAGAAACAGTCAGGAAGGGACTAGCTTAGGGTCCCACATCAAATCAGCGGGAGAGCTTGGACAAGACTCTGATACAGACACTTGAATCCCACTGGCCCACTGAACTGGTCTCGCACTTTCCAGCAATACCATCCTGAGCTGGATTCAATCAGATCTCACCAGCTATTCAGCGTTTATCACAGGCCAGGGAATCGGCAATAAAGACGGAATAAGCGCTGACGATTTTGCTTCTAGCCGAATGCCAAGTTTCCGTTTGGAGGGAATTGCTCTTTCAATGGCAACTGAGTTATAAAACTCCAAAAATGGGATTTATAACAGAGGCACTGACAGATCCTTGACTAGAGCACAATGTGACAACGCCACTTTCTGGAGCTAAAATGCCACAGAACATCTGCCTTCATTATCTTTTAACGGTGAGTTGTTCGTGCAGCCAAGGTACTTTGGTTTACGTCTCAAAGTTTTTATGGACTTTAAGGCATTAAAGGAAGAGACGTTTTCTTGAGTGCATATCTCACCAGGATACACTGAAAGACTTCTCAGTTTAGGACGATCAATGCCACGTGAAACCGAGGAATGGGTAATCTGCTCTGCCGGTGGAAATAGATAAGAAAGCGTTAAAGGCTACCTGCCTGTCAGCTGACCCAGACGAGAATTTAAAGAAAGGGCGAATGCTCTTTCTCCAAACTGAATGCCCCAGGGCTTTTCCCCTTGTCTTTGTCAGCTGCCAGGAAAAGGGCGCAGGTCAGCGGTGACCAGCCTTTTTGGTAGGCATGCCACAAATTTAGCCCTGCAATCCCCTTGAATGCTGCTCTAATCTTCACCCCTTCCCACCCTGCCAGGCTGCTCCCTATCCCTTTCCCAATTTTCAGTTGAAAAAAGTAAGCCCAAATCCACAATTTTCTATGATTAAAATGAAACACCACTATATAGATATAGAGATCTATATAGATCTCTCTCTCTATAGATAGGTAGATAGATAGATAGATAGTGATGTTTCATTTTAATCATGGAAAAATGTGGATTTGGGGATATACACCTTTATATAGAGACAGATATAGATAGATAGATAGATAGATAGATATAGAGATATATATAGAGAGATATCTCTATAGAGATATATAAATATCTCTATAGAGATATCTCTGTATCTCTATCTATATATATTAGTGGTGTTTCATTTAAATCATGGGAACATGTGGATTTGGGGTTACTTTGGGTTTTTTTTTACCGAAAACTCGGGATTTTTTTACATCATAGAAAACCAAGACCCCTGGTGATTGAGCACTGCTGATTACTCGTGAGGGGGAGCCCTGAATTAAGCTTGGCTTGCAGGCAAACTTGGCTCCCTGTGCTCTCCATCAGATGACTGGTGCTCCCAGCCATAGGAGCACAAGGGAGCCCTCGATCTGCTGAAAAGCATTTCCAGCCTCTGGAGCACCTAGGAGGCTTGAAGGGGTCACAGTGTGCTCCAGAGGCTGTGACCACTGGCCAAACATTCAATTAAAGACGTAATAGGAATCAACCACAAAGTTATTACACATAGTTGGTTTACTACCCTGTGGCTTATTCCTCATTTTATCACACCGTTCATTGAATGAACATGTGGCTAGGTCACTACTTCACATGCAGTTAACCAGTTAATCATGTCTTAAATCTAACATCTGTCAGGGGCCTTAGATGCACTCATCCAGTTCCCAACGACTTCAGTGGGAGGCGCAAACAACTGCCACACACTATCCCAGAGGTGGCTGCATCCTCAGCTGCAGTGCAAGGCAGGGCAGAGAGGATGCACTTTTATTTCACAAGCACTTTGAGATAATTGGCTTTATTAAGCTGCAGCCAAAAGGAACACAGCTCTGTTCATACATCTGGCACAACAGCACTGCAAATTTGGACCCTAATGCAATAATTCAGTTTAAAAAATCTATTTCTTTTCCTTTCTTTTGCAACCTTCTGGATATCCAGGTGCAGTTCCCCAATGCCGATTAACATCCCACTTCATAAAATAGAACAAATGCAGCTATTTTGTAATCCAGCCCGGCAGCTTCTATTTACAACTTGCAAATGACTGTGTAAGGGTGAAGATCAAACCAACGCCTTCTGCACAGAGAACAACCTGTTACAAACACACAAAGTAAACACCAGTTTTTGGCAGTGCTACGCAAGACCTTTAGCAACTCAGCCTTGCTGTTTCAGGGACTTTATTAATCACTTAATTTTGTTAGGGCTGCCAGGGCATCGCCGTAACCATACTGTGAACTTGAATTCATTTGAGAAGTTCTTACTCATCCATACAATAGCGTCATTCATAAAGAATGACTCAGGTGCATACTGTGGGGGAAAGATCAGGGTCACAATACCTCCTCAACATCTCATTTCAATACCTGATTAGAAAAAAAAGAAAGTCTAGGGATGACTACGAGACCCATCAGACAACCCTACTGAATAACCATCACAACAGATACGGCAGCAGTTCTCCCAAACTCTACAAGCAGCACCTGCACCAAAAAGCTGCAAGTTATGAAAGAAGAATAGAAATCATTGGAAGAGATCTCAATGGCACCTGGTCCAACATCCTGCATGAAAGCAGGGTATGCTGTTCCCAAATCACCCCAGACAAATGTCTATGCAGCCCCTTCTTAAAACCCTCCAAGGAAGGATATTCAACAACTTCCTGGGCAGCTTATTCCATTGTCCTGCTGCTCTTATACTTAGGAAGGTCCCCCCAACCAAGTTTTCATCTAAATATGCTTTGCTACCAATTAAACCTATTGCTTTTTGTGTCCTTGGTGGCAAGGGACTGACCAAGACCAGAGGAGTGGGATATCTTACACCGGGGGCATCAGATCTATGGCCTATGGGCTAGATTGAGGCTGGTGGGCTACTGGCAGGCTACCAGAACCTGGGGGACAGGACTGAGGGGGCTCGGCCTGCCACAAACCCCACTAAAACTTTCTCACAAGGAGGGTAGTAAAACATTGGAACAGGCTACGCAGAAACCTAGTGGACTCTCCATCCTTGGAGATTTTTAAGACCCAGATAGACAAAGCCTTGGCTGGGATGATCTAGTTGGGGCTGGTCCTGCTTCAAGCAGGGGGGGGGACTGGATGACTATTTGAGGTCTCTTCCAGCCCTCATTTTCTATGACTCGATGACTATTAGCAACAGGAAAACAAGTGAGGGCTCTGCCCTGCTTGCCCCAATGCCGCCGGACTCTCAGACACTTGCCACTTGGCCCCAGCCCTCCAGCCTCCCCTGCCAGCCACTGGCCCCACAGATCTGGCCTGGGAGAAACCCCCATGGTCTGGCCCTGACCTGGACGAGTTTGACACCCCTGCCCTACACAACAAATGGTCAGGGTGAAAGATAGCAGGAATTCAGGTAGGTATGAAGTGGAAAGAGAAGGGGAGAAGAAGAAATGAGATTTGGGGGGGATGAGACAATGAAAATGGAAAGATGGAAGGAGACAATGATGGAAAAGATGGAGGGAGGGTGCATGAAAGATGAAGGCTGTGGAAGACTGTGTTCAGGGAGATTGGAAAACAGAGACCCAAATCCAATATAGATGCCCATTCTGGTATGAGCCAGAGAAGGATCTGAAGGATGCTTCTACACTTGGGTTGGGACCTTTCACCAACCACCTGGGAAGATACATCTCATGAATTTTCCTGTAGAGAGGGGTGGAAGTCTTGGGTATCCAGTTTCCCTCCACTCAGGTAGTCTGCTTCAGTGAAAAAGTTGGGGAAAGACAGCACTAAATGTAGTGCTTGGTCACTGGCTATGAAAGCAGGCGAGTATTTCCATAGGGGCAGAGTGGAAGATAGGAAATAGGAGAGGACCTCAGCAAACTGGCACCACAACCCAAAGATGACAAGCCAGCATAGCCCCGTGGATATTTCAACATACCTTCCAGGTGCAGCCACATTAACCTTCCTTTCACGGATGTGATCGAAGCAACGCATATTTCTGCAGGGTTCTTGGGGTTCACCGCCTCCAACTTCATGTTCTTCGTAAAGCCACGGCTGAAGGACGTCTGAAAGAAGTCAAACGCCAACACTGAAACATCATGCCCGAGCCCAAAATGGACACTCCCCATGGGAATGTAGATCTAGCTGGGGTCAGTTTCCATGGGTAATATCTAGGACTGTCTGGACCAAGAACTTAGCACGCGTCACAAAGGGCTGGTTTATTATAAAGGTGGTAAGAAATACTCCTGGGTTACCATAACCAACTATGGCAAATTCAGGAAGAAATGGTAAACTTGGTGCTTCAGAGCAAAGCCAAACCTTGAACTAACAGGGAGTAGGAGGACAGCTAAATGGAGGCAGGAGAGGTTCTTAAAGTCTTCATCTCCAGCTGGCTACTGGGGGAAGCAGAATATTAGAGCAGACGGCTCTCTGATCCCATCCCGTCAGGCAATACCTAGGTTCCCCGAACCACATTTCCAAAGCAAGCCCTCCGGTGTATCCATTCGTTCACATAATAGTTGTTCGTATATATAGGGAGCCAGACCCTCCACTGATTTAAATGGGTCACTCACTTCATCGTATTAGCTGCTTCATGTCGAAACACTGAGCCGTGCCTATGCACCTCAGCTAAGTAGCTGGCGAGGAGTCATGGGGGCACACCCATTGCACGCAAGCGTAAGAACGTGTCCCTGAACAAATTTTCCGTCTGAAACGCCAGCAGGATCCACTTTACTGCATTACTAAAGGTCTGATATATCTGGGTGAAGAAGTTCCAAGACTCTATTTTATTTATGCCCTTTTTTGATGCTTATAAGCTTGGCAGCACCATGTGTTATTATTACCCAACATGATTGCCCAACACTTCTCATTAGAAGATCAATTTTTAGCTGACATTTATAACTTTGCCAAACTCTAACGCTTGAGGCTGAGATTTTCCACGCAGGGTATCTGCTGCCATCTGATTTAACACAAATACACAAATAATAAAAAAAAAAAAAAACCAACCCAAAATATCATCCCTCAATCCGCAGACAAAAAGCCCACCAATTTCCAAGTACTAGTCTAACAAAACCTCGTGTTCAAAATATTTAAAAGTTCGGACGGTTTTTTTCTTTGAAAAACCTTGGGGAGGAGGGGGAAGGGTTTAGCTTGCTGCTTTTTTTTTTTTCCTAAGAAAATCTAGGAAATTGTCTCCCAAACCCCTCAATTTATTGCAAAATCACCTATGCATACATTAGAAAATAACACAATTCAAAATGCCGAGGCATCCTTTATTCTCCCTACTTCTGATGATTATGAGGGAAAATAATGGTACGTGATCATGTAAGCAAGGAATCTATTAAAATGTCTATGCATGAGGGAGACCAAACAAGCTGACATGGGCAACCTTAATTCTGGTATTTCCTAGCTTTTCAGTGCCTAAATTTTCCACCTTTTGAGGGACTTTGGGCAGGATTTTGATATGAACCTATCTGAGAATTACAGACGTGTTCGCCTTCGTGGGGTACCTGGGTGGAGCTGCTGTTAGGGGCATACCTCTGTGCACTTCAGTGCAATCCCACCCATTTCCACCACTGGAAGGTCCAGCTGCTACTGATTTTGCAAGGCACTCCCCTACCACGGGGTTGGGGAGCCCTGCAAGGCTGCAGACAGACAGACGGACGCCTCAACAGGTCGTGACAATCACAACAGCCATGCCCACAGCCATGGCAGACCGTTTGCCAATCTCCTCCCCAAACCAGAGTCACTCCACTAAAACAGAACGAGGATTCCCACTTGCAACCCTCCAAGTGCCCAAGCAGATGGACACCTCTGTACCCTTCAAACACTCTTCACTTCCATAAACACCGGTCCTCCTTCTCTGCCTCTCCTGAGGACCTTCTGCTAAGGTCCTCTGGCCTGTCTCCCCATCCCTTTCAAGCACCTTTTTTCTTTTCACAGAGCTTACCTTCTCCAAGCAAGGCCCCCACAACTACTACCTCCTCCCCTTCAAACCACCGTGGAAGCAATGTGACGTGTGTTGCTCTCGCAGTGTTTTCTCTCTGCTTTTGGTTTTTATCTTTTCCCTCCACGCTCCACCTTTCCTTCTAGTGGCCAGAGAGTGCCTTCAACTCGGCACCAGTTAGATCTCTGGAGCAGCGTGTGCAAGCGTGCGCTCCGCATTTTCAAAAGGATGGAAAGAAGTTAGAAAGTCCAGAGGCGGACAAGCAAGATAAGGGGTGTAGCAGAGCACTAAGGTGCCTGCTACTTGGAGAGCCGGAATAGCTGCTCAGGTGCCGGTTGATCGGACGACCAGAGGCAGCCAGTCTCCCACACCTGCTAGCGGTCAGCTGACCGGAAGGGGAGGGCCTGGCTCCCATTTAAACACCAGGACTGAGGCCAGGGAGGCAGTTCCCTCCTGGCTGCCAAAGGGGAAGGAGCTCTCCTAGAACAGCCAAAGGGGAGAGGCCTGGCTGCAGGAACAGCTTCTGTCACTGTGGAGGGACGGAGTATTTCCTGGTAGGGTGAAGGTTGTTCAAGCCGAGGGGCTCACATTTTGTTTACTGTTTAAATCCGGTGGCTTGGGTGAAGCTATTAGGGGTTGGAGGAGGCCTCACAAGGGACCCACAGCAGTGTGGAGATCCCAGCACCAGCATGGTCAGGTTGGTACAGACTGTAGGGGATTTTGCAGGGTGGAAGGAGTGGAAGTGGGCCCTCTACCCAGGATTTCTCGAGCATATATCGGCAGCATTTCATAGAAGCAAGACTCTGGCTACTGCGGCTCCCCTGCTTTGGCCGTGACAGATTAGGGTGTTAGGTCTATGTTGTGTCAGGGTTGACAGTAATCTTACGTACAGCTTAGATTATGGACGGTTTAGATAGGGTTTAGTATAGGATGGCTTGGATCAGGTCGATCCTGCCTCCGGCAGAGGGTTGGACTAGATGACCTCTGGAGATCCCTTCCAGCCCTACTTCTCTACCTGCCCTCAGTACCTGCCCTTTTACTTCAACTATTAAAAAAAACCCCAACCCCCACCTAAGATTTAGGAAGGCAGGACTGTCTACAGATCGATGTCAAAATGGCTCCCCACCTCAGTCGGTCTGGAGGCACTACTGTAATGAACACAATTAACAACCGTTGCAAATCCAAGATGATTAAGGGCTCAATCCTGCAAACTGCACACTTAAGCAAGGGGACAATGGCTTTGTCCCGAGTAGGAAAAGCAGTAGCATTATCATCAAGCGTAGCTAATGCATATCGGCTAACCCAACGTCAACTCATCCATCTTCCCTAAGCAAGGCAAAACCAACAAAAGCCTTCTCCGATTCCCCTGAGGCTACTCATGGAACTGCAGGCTGCTGAATCAGGTCCTTATTTCATTAAAAATCTTTGCAGAAACATATCACCGCCTGTAGCGATTTCCATACTTTTTGCAGGGCTTGGCCGGTTTAAAGCCATACCCAGCACACAGAGTAGAAACAGCTAACAGGCCAGGTCTCCAGGACATAAGAGTGAGTTTGCTTAAATACATTTTTATGCTGGCTTACAAGGAAACGCCATCTATCTTCACAGAGGCTCCTTGTGCTGAGGCTCAGCGCTCCAGGCTAATTTATAAAGGATCAATGGCATAACAGTTAGCTGGGAGTTTATTTTTACTAAGCACATGTGGGAACATCAATCCATTTCATAACTGCCTTTGCTTGTTAAATATCCCAAGGGAACCGGTTACAAGGTATCCACTTCCCTGCGATGTCTTGTACTAAGCGGAAAGTGTGATTAAAAAAAAAAAAAAAACCAAAACGGTTTGCAATAAGCGGTCTATCAAAGAACCACTTATAGCACTGTAAAACGTGGACAGACCTGCTGGGGTTGTCATACAGATGAAAACAAAGAGACTACAGCTTTCGCTATAAAACAGGAGCAATACAATGGGAGCACGTTTGTCTGATGAATGTTAAAAAGAAGTTACTGGAGCTGATTTAATCTTTGCAGAAGATTATAACTCATTCTCAGGCCTCCTGTAAGGTCAGCCCACCTATGGTATGCTAATAAAAAAAGGAAAAGGAGATGGAAAGAAAGAAAGGAGGAAACAGAAGGTAGGGAAGTGTGACAGTCATTTGTTTGCATTTTATTTGCAACTGCCCCAGCGCTCACCCACTGGCAATTGCAGTGCCGTAAATTATTGTCATTCCAGTGCATTAGATCAGCGGTGCTCAACCTTTTGGTCTTGGGTGGCACAGGGCTGGATCCGGCCCTGCACCGCTGCTTTGCAGCCCCATGCACGCAGGGTCATATCTGATGCACGCAACTCCCCGTGGGTCTGGAATTTGACACCAGGGAAGCAGCAATTAACAGCCATCTCTCCCCCATCCCCAAATTTCCAGACTCGTGGGGAGCTCTGCGGGCCAAATGACATGGCTCTGCAGGCCGGATCTGGCCAGTGGACTGGGGACTGAGCACCCCTGCATTAGATTCGACTGTGCATAGGATGCACCTCCCCTCTCCCCCGAAGAGGACAGAATTGTAGGAAAAAATATTTTACATAAATTTGATTGAATTCTGGTCAACTTATGTCAATGGTTTCAATTCTCTTTCATTCTGTAGCTTCAGTTCACCTTCATTTTAGACTTCTTAATTCTGGGTGGGGGGGGGGGGGGGTGCATCTTAGGGACCAAAAGGTCCCTAAGCCAGTGGTATGAGCCAGTGGTTGCCAATCTGTGGTATGGGTACCACCAGTGGTGCGCAGATAACCTGTCAGCGGTACACATTAACAGATTTATTATAACTACAGTAAAAGCCGCATTAACCAGCACTTCATTAACCGGCATGCTGGTTGATGCTGGTCGACGCGGCAAAAGGGAAACCAGAAGTGGGACTTCTGGTTTTGTTGAATCCCACAGCCCAGGGGAAAGCAGCCTGCGCGGAGCCCCCCCTCCCTTTCCCAGGAGAGGGGCAGCACGGTTAATCTGAGATGTGGATGCGGCCAGAGGGGCGTCTTTGCCTGACCAGGCAAAGATGCCTCTCAGATAACCAGCACATTTGGTGATCCAGCACTCCCATTTCCCATGAGTGTCGGCTAACGGAGCTTTTGCTGTAATTTATATGACAAAAATTTGCTGGTGGTACTTAAGGTTGTATCATTTTTAAATTGGTGGTGCACAATCTGTCAGGGTTTGGGTATACGCCTTCCAAGGTGCAGACTCTCATACAGAAGGATACAGCATGCGGATGAGGAGATAAGGGCTGTCATGGTGAGACCAAAAGTCCATCCAACGCCGTATGCTATCTCCAACAGCGGCAAATAGCAAATGCTTTAGGGCAGTGGGCAGCAACCTTTTTGGCAGGCATGCCACAAGTTAGCTTTGGTCCCTCCCTGAAAGCCAGTACAATAACCTTTCCCCTGCCTGATCTGCTGCTTTGCTTTCCGCTTCCTGCCCTGTGCTCCTTGCCCAACTTACTGCTCTTCTTTCTGCTCCCTGCCCTATCTGCCACTGTGCTAGCTGTCCCCTCCCCAATCTGCTGCATGTTACACACAGAGGCCACTGAATGCCACTTGTGCTGGAGCTTGGCTACCCTCCTTTAGAGGATGAGCATAGAGATAGATGAGCTGTCCCTCATTGGAAACTTCCAGTCACCAAGGGTAGGTAGCAACCCCCAAGGGACCTATTCTCCAAACACTTGTCTCATCCTTCTTTGAACACCAAGGTCCCCAACCCTGCTCAAAGACCTGATCCAAATCCTACTGATGTTTAAGGGGCCCGAGTCTGGCCTCTAGAGTAAAAGAGAAACACATATTAGAATACTAATAGGTGCCTTAGAGAGCCTTGAATATAGTAATGATGCTGGCATGAGTCCTACCTGCTACAAACAGCCCATGTGCTCTAGTGGCAGTGCTCCATCTCCTTGGCTTTTACTATGATGTGTTATAAGCTGTCCTGGTGGTTTGGATGACATTCCTTGTAAGTGCGGGAAACGGTTCAAAGGGAAGATTTGGGGGATTCCCTGGATTAACAATTGCCTGAGAAAACAGGGGACTGGACTCCTACATTCCTCTTTCAGTCCAATGCAAGGCTGCCACCCCAGATCCTCACAGGCCCCAGCTGCCCACCCCGTTAGAAGGATCTGTTCTACTTTCACGTTTCAGAGCAACGAACTAATTTGAGACGGTCGCAGAACATCAGTCCCAACTAATACTCAGGTTGGGAGGGCCCATAGCTTCCTTGCATGGACACCATGTGAGAAGAGCACTGGGCATCATGAAGACAGATGGTTACTGCAGTGCTTAAGGAGCGGTGGACTCTCATGCCATGGATCATGTCTGATCAGCCCATAAAGGACCCTTTCCAGAGCTCATAACTTTTACAAGCCTGGGCAGAATGAAACACAGTACATGCGTCACGGTTGCCATCTTAGGAAAAACCATAAAGATGCCGCAATGGTAGAAACTCCACGTGCAGCAGCCCAAGTTTGAGTTGCATGTAGAGCTCAAAAGATTGCAATGTCTCTTTTGGGTACCTTGGTAGGGTTGGGACAAATACCTTCTCGGGAGTAAGAGAAATGCCTCAGACAAGCAAAACATCAGCCTGCCAAGTCAGGGGAGTGTTTCCATTCATGTCAGTGGCTTTTTCTATTACCGATCATTTGTGCCTCCAGGCTTCAAGGAAACCCAGGCTAAGTGCTGCACAAATACAGTAGGCAAGGCAGACCAAGAACAAGAGGAAAGAAGTATCAGTTGTCACATAGGGATAACTGAGGCACGGAGAGATTAAGTGAGTAACTTCAACTCACGCAGGAAGGCTGGAGCAATACGAGGAATTGTACCCCGGGAGCAACTCTACACGGCTCTCATCTCCCAGCCCAGTAATTATAACCATGAGGGCACACTTCCCTCTCAGAAGGCTTTGGATGAAGCTCTGAATTCAGAGCAATAAATAGCAGGATTCAACGCACGTCGACAACAGCCACAGAAAGGGAAAACAGAGCTTACGTTTCTAAAGCAGAAGTGAGGAGCTGCCTCTGCTCCACACTGCTTCTGATAATCTGCCCAGTCAAAGTCCTGGCCAGAGTAACCTGTAAGGAAAGAGAACAGGGAAACCCCATGAGACATCACATCACACTGAGAGGGGGGGGGGGAGAAAATGACTGTCAATTAAATTATAGTTTGCATTTCAGTGCCACCTCCCATCTATCCGTCTCTATGCATTTTACAGATCTGAATGAAGTGAGCCCCATCAGTTGAATACATACATACAAACAAAGGAAGGAAAACATAAAATAAATGTGTGCCTGGGAGGCCAAAAATGAATATCATCCCCAGTTACATGGAGGGAAAGCTGAGGTTAGATCAAAGTGAGCCAGTGGCACAACTGACAATAGCATTCGGGTCACCTGGGTGCAAGTCATATGTTAGGGAATACTTCCCAATGACTTATTCTTTGCTCTGTGAAGGTACTGGGCATGCAAAGTGCCAGGGGCTCTACACACATCTATAACAAAAAGATTGCACCGGCCTCTGAGGGCTTACCGCGTACTTACCTAGCAGCAATATGTACATCCAATACTACTGAAGATGGAGCAGAGAGCAGCTACCTGGGAGCAGCCCGCAATTTAATGTAGGTGAGGAAATTCTTGCTGAGCCCATCCAGACAAACTCCTGGTCTTATTTTTTTTTAAAAAATGCTCCATGGGATTTCTAATCCTACTATATCCTGGTTCTGTTTCTCTTTGCTACTTCTACGGGCCCTAACAAATACAGTATCTGTGCGTTTCATGGTCCTGCATGCACTGATCTGCACAACACTTCTGTGAGGTAGAAAAGCACCATTATCCCCATTTTACAGATCAGAATGGAGGCAAGAGGGCTAAGCCCAAAGTGACACAGGGGGTCTACAGCAGAGCAAGGAAACAAATCCATATTCCTGAGTTCTAGGTGAGGGTTAATTTCAACCCACTTTTCCTCTCCACAAGGTCTAATCCGAACCAAGGCATGACTTTGTTATATAAGGTCTTGTCGGAAAAGGCCTGGTACACATGGCCTGTGCAGAGTGCCATGCGTCTAGCAGGGATTTGGAGGGGGTGCCTGCATTACTTGGCTATGTAGAGTGCATTCTTGCTTCGCATGCTGCATTTGCACAGTGCTTAGGACTCTTGTGCTTAGGAAAACAGGGCTCCAATCCTGATTGCGGTCTGTGATAACTGTAGAGTCACTATTATTGCAGAGTTTCAAGAAGGTTTAAAGTCCAGATTTTCAGCCAGTCCTTCCTTACTGGATCTTCAGCAATCCCTAGCAGTTGAGGATGACTGTCCTCCATGAATGTCATATATGTGGGTCCAAAGAAGATGATGGACAAGGCCAACTTGGAATGGGCAGACTCTGTTGCAACTCGAGCATATGTTTCTGTGTGGGGTGGGTGGCTCTGGATTCTTGATTCAAATCAAGTGGATACCATTTGGGCTCAATCATTCAAGGATTCAAAATCTCCTGTAGCTCCCATTTGCATGCATGGGAAATAAGGTGCTTAAAAGTGTACAAGACTTGCACCAGTAAAAAATTAGTCCTGGTCTGCTTGGGATTTTTTTTTATTGTTGACCTGCAAGTATATTGCAAGTGAAGAGAATGTGTGCACAAATTATATCTGCAATGTAGCCCTAAGAATCCTTCCGCAACACAAGGTCTTTGGATAAGATGACTGCATGTGCAACTAATACATGCTTTCATGTGGTGCTGACCACAAAAGGAACTGAACACGGTCGGCCCCTATGAAGCTCAATGGCGGACAGAAGCAAAGCATAACACGGAAATTCCCGAGGAAAAATAATCAGTCATAAATGAGCATTGTTATCATGAAGAATTTCCATTTTTGCTGCAATCTTCTGCATCCTCCCCCTCTCCCTCCCCCCAAAACGATGCCATTTTCAAAACCAGAAATGTTTTCCTCAATCCCTTTGTTTCTCTCCCCTCGTGATTTTTTTTTTTAAATCATGGAAAACACACAAAGCTTAGAGATCAAAACACTTCCTACCAAAATCTGTGTTTAGAAAGAAGTCATAGTTTTTGATTACAACTATTTTTCAAAGAGAAATTTCAAGCGACTCTAAGAAAGAAAAATGTTATAAGCAAAACAGTCTTCCGTGTATTGAAATGAAAGACAAAGCAAAAAAAAACATGCAGAATGTCAGTGCTTTATCTGAACAGCATCATTGTTATTGCTTCTATGGCTCCTTTAAAAGGTGTCACGACTGCCTGGCTCTTCAGCAAGTTACATTAAGCTTAAGGACCAGCAACAAGAGTGATGCGAAGACGCTCCTTCTGAATACGCTGCTCTCCAAAGAAACAAAAACCCAGGGACTTTCTAGTGCTTTTCTTGTCTCCAAATGAAAAATCCCAGTGAGCTATGCTAAAGCTTCGCAGTAAGGATGACAGAATTGTCGGTGTGACCACCAATGTGAGGTACAAAAAAGGTTGTAAAAAGGTCAAAAAAACCCCACATCACACTTATAGGCTCAGCACTGCTACACTCGCTAGCACTGCGACCGAAAGAGACTTGGGGGTTGTGATCGATCACAAAATGAACATGAGCCACCAATGTGATGCCACAGCCGGCAAAGCAAATAAAACTCTGGCTTGCATCTACCAATGCATCTCAAGCAAGACCCAAGAAGTCATCCTCCCGCTTTACTGGGCCTTGATGGGCTGGAGTACTGCATCCAGTTCTGGGCTCCACAATTTAGGAAGGACGTGGAGAAGCTTGAGAGAGTCCAAAGGAGAGCCACGTGTATGATCAGAGATCAAGAGAGCAAGCCTGATGAGGAGAGGCTGAGAGGCATAGGACTCTTCAGCCTGGAGAAGCGAAGGCTCAGGGGTGACTTGGTGGCAACCTATAAGTACATCGGGGTGTGCATCAGGACCTGGGGGAACGCCTGTTCACCAGAGCACCCCAGGGGAAGACAAGGTCTAATGGTCACAAACTGCTGGAAGACCGCTTTAGACTGGACATAAGGAAAAATTTTTTTATCATCCAAGTCTCCAGGGTCTGGAATAAACTCCCCTCAAAAGTGGTGCAATCACCTACTCTGGATACCTTTAAGAAACACTTGGATACTTATCTTGCTGGGGTGATCTGACCCCCACTGACTTCCTGCCCTTGGGCAGGGGGCTGGACCAGATGATCGTGAGGTCCCTTCCAGCCCGAATGTCTATGAAATCTATGAAATCCAGGTCGTCACACAAGCACCTTCCAGCCTGATCTTGCACCGCTGCAATCAAGCTTATCTCTTGACCGCCACTGGAGCAGCAGTAAATGCACAGAGAACTACTTCTTTACTGTCCGAGCCCCCAAGGCCTGGAATAGACTCCCTCCAGAAGAGGTACAGGCACCTACTCTGGACTCATTCACGAAATGTTTGGACGCTTATCTTGCTGGGATCCTTTGACCCTAGCTGACTTTCTGCCCCTGGGGCAGGGGGCTGGACTTGATGATCTTCAACATCCCGTCCAGCCCTAATGTCTACGAAATCTATGAAACTACAGAAGAGTGCGCCACAAGTCGCTAGTGTTAAGATTCAGCAGTGTAACGATGGACAGTCCAAATACTGTCACTCAGCGACCCAGCTTAATGCACACTTTGCTAGGGCACTTCACATGCTGCCCACAAAACATGCAAAAAATCTCCACTACTCAATTGACTTTACAAGTCTGTAAGAGCCTAGTTAGTCTGATGAGAAGTGAATGTAACACCACAAATGTATTGAAAGTTTTAAAAGGTGGCATTTTTTAGCAAACATTACCACTAGCAGCTCCACTGAAATGTTTTTCCCTCTCTTAATAGCTCATAAAAAGGAACAATGGCTGTTACTCTAAATGGAAGTGGTCTATAAATCCAGCTCTAATAAATATAAACAGTGCCTATTCAATGTTTATACAGTGGTAGTAAATGGGTATTCATTTTTGGCACTACATTGAAATATACAGCTCTATTTGTAGCCAAAAATGTTTACACCTCCTGCTCACACCTCAAGTCTTGTACATGTGCGAGCTCTGCTTTATAAAAGGTCCAATATACATAGGAATTGCAAAAATCAATCTGACCCTGAACAACCAACTTGGCTGTACTATTTCTGGTAGAATAAACTACTCTTCTCCTATAAAACTCTTGGCTGGACAATGACACTGAGATAATATCATAAGCAAAAGAACCGTATCTTCACTGCAGGTGAGGCAGAGTCCGGATCCAGGACGAGATGAACGTAGATTCCTCTGATAGCGAAGAAAGTCACATTTGTGGGTTTGCACCTTCAGCTCCTCTTGAACGTGCTGCATTCATGGACTTGACTCACTGATGGACATTTCCTCAGCAGTGAATATCTTCAGTAGAAAGATCCTGGCCAGAAATGTCTCAGCACAGAATCACGAGGAAGCAGGTCAGTCTGATAGAAGAGACATCTCTGCCATTTGCACGGCAAGCAGAATAACCCACCGAGGCGAGACCTTCAACCTTTCTGATTGTGGAGGAGGTATATTCCTTTTTTATCCTGTTTATACCATTGTCATCTTTACTTTGAAGACTTCATTTCTGTAGCTGTCCAGCCCTTTTATAATCTGCCGAAACTGTTTCTTTAAATTGTTTGTTAGCTGTTCAAACTCCATCGTGTCCTGTTCAGAAAGCGTCAGAGGTTCATGCACTAGTGCAAGTTCTTTCAAATCCCTTTGCCAGTTTGGATACATTTTCTTTTTCATCTTTTTTTCCTTTTTTTGTTAAATCAGGAATTTTGGAATTGCTCACATCTCTGATCACACTTGAGCGACTCTTCAGATCAGAAGGGTGTGGAAAGCCAAGGTGTAAAGATGCATTTTGGGCATGAAGCCATCACACACGCACACTAGAAGGAATGTCTTAGTATACTGGATATATGCCATCTTCCTTATGTCCTTCTTTTAATATATCTATATATAGATATATATATAATTAATTATTATTTTATATATATATATATATCTTTATCTCTCTCTTTCTCTTTATCTCTCTCTTTCTCTTTATCTCTCTTTCTATATATATCTATATACAGAGAGAGAGAGATAAAGATATATATCTATACACACACACACGTTCCCTTCAGGATCCTTAATTCAACAGCAGCTGAGAGACTTTATGTACTGCTATAGCATGGCTCCTATGTATATGTGCATTTGTTTCTAGGACTTTATTAAGGAGGACTTCCAGTATTTCCTCAAGAGCCCTAGTGAATCCAAGATTACTAGAGATGAAGCTATTCATCCATTCCTTCCTTTAACATTTTTTGGGCAAGGAGAGAAATTATTCAGGCGAAGGGTACAAATGGGCTGCTGCCAGATCTGCAAAGTTTGGCACTGTAGGCAGAACCTGTGCCAACCCGCATCATAAAACTCCAGATAATATGGTCTTGCCCTGAACTCTAAAGGCATGCGGTGGAAGTTATGAAGCAACAGCTGCCAAGGACAGTGATGTATAGCCTGTCTTCTACATTAGTTAATTAACCGGTTCTGAATGTCCTGATCAAAATAGAGTGGATAAATCAAACTCAAGGATTCATTAATAGTAAAGTGGAGCGTAGGTAATATCCTGTCCGGGTTTAAAGGATTAAAATCAGAACACGGCCTGGTTTTTAGGCTGGGCTTTTCCACTGATGAGCTGCAAATCTCTGGATTAGTCACTTTTCCTCCATGTCTCTTCAGCCCGTCTTGACTATTTAGGTAAGATTATATGCCTGTGGAGGAGGCCCTACCTATAGTGATCTATGGGTAGGGCAGACCCTACCTATAATGCCCCATTGCCAGCAGAGACCAGTAGGCTTTAGCACAATAATACATTGTATACAGAATTTGCATCTATAGACCCAACCAAAGCCTACCAACATCCATATATTAGGCTTGTGGGTCAGACCCTGTTTGTAAGGGGGTTAAGTTCAACTATTCTTTTAAGGAGCTGTGTTTTCATAATGGAGAGTTATGAACACTTAAATACACGCTGCCTTCTAACACCTCAGTTGCAAGTTGCATTGAGATAAGTGTCAAGAGGCCAATTTTTTTTCCACTACAACTAGCAGAATAATAAGGGCTACATTTGGTGTGCAGCTGCAAGCACAGAGCTGCCACCAACTTCAGAGTAAGCTTCAAACAAAGCATACGCTTTAGCGTTTCACTGGATTTCTACCAGGGTTTGATGCCTCACACGACCAAACCCGGAGAAAGGAGACTTTTGACTCAGCCACAGTATTAATGCCATTGTGGAATAACAAGTTACGCCGCTAGAAACCACGGCAAGCTTTCATTTTTTCCTTCCCCCCGCAAATTAAAATAAAATCTCATGCACAATATATTAGGGAAAAACTAACATCTCTGATTTTGTTCTATTTTACACAATGTCCCACAATGTCCATTTACAGAATGTTGCCAAATTTGGGCATCCTGGCCAACACGTCATTAAAACAGGACTGGAGAATTTCAAAAGCTGTACCACTCTCCCCCAGAAGAAGAAATAATCCAGTGGGTGTATGCAGCTTTTATGAAGTTGGATTAAGCCTAAAACAAAAATGGGAAAACTCCAAATTTCCAAAGCTGTCATATTTTGTCGGATATACATTTTTTTTTACCTGGCGTCCTAATCCTAGTGGTACTCTCAACTTACCTCCACCCAGCCACCATGCGTCTCAGCACTGATATCTGTAAAATGGACCCTTTGAAATGCACTATACAGCACTGATATCTGTAAAATGGACCCTTTGACATGCTCTATCCCCTATGTAGCCATTTTAGGTGGCTCCTATTGCCATAGTATCTGATTATGTCAAAAACCAGGGAGGTAAGAAAATGCTATTGTTCCTTTATAAATGAAGGCACAGAACAATTAAGGACAGAAATCTGTTTCACCTATTGGATGACCAAAAAAAACCAAATTGAGATTCAGCTCGGAGATATCTGCCTAAAACGTAAGAGTGACTCTTATTACCCGCTCTCGGCATACAAGTGCTGCAATTATAGGAATAGGGTCACCCTTCAGAGAGAGACAGATCTCTCCCTATTCCTCTAACAGTAGCATGCATGTGCCCAGAAGAGGTGGTGGGACCATTCCTGCATTTCAGTTGGGTAACTCATAGTTGGTTGCAAGCTGCACTTTGGTCGTCCACTCAAGTGCCCTAAGTGACTTTCCCAAAATCAAACAGGACGTCTTTCATGGAACAGAGACCTAAAACTAAGTTTTTCAACTCCCTGGCAAGTGTCCTGACTACTGGACATCCTCCCTTTCTAAGCACCAGACAAGAAAGGGGTGCAGAACACGTCCTTCAATGTTCCTGGAGCCCTTCTAGCGTAACACGTTAAGTACAATCAAAGTTCAGACCACAGGAATTCACTGGACTTTTTAATCCCTGTCAGTAAGACAGACACCGCACAAGCCAATGTATGAAACCAGTTCTACAGACAGCTCATCTGCAGCTCCCATGCCATTGATGGCACTATGCCGATTTATGCTAGCATCAGACTTGGCCCACAGGGTTCACCATAACAACAATGTTTTAAAACACCCTAATATTTTCAGGCTGTTAGTATACTATTTTCTGTTTTAAACTGCAACATGGTTTTTAAGGGGACAAAGAAGTGAATTTGTCCTTTGGTAGAGAGGGGAAAACAACAAAACACTGAAAATCAGAACGGTTAATACAAACCCTTGGGAGGCGTGAGATTGACTCCATTTTTAAGGCACCACTGTACTGGTAAGATCCCTAAGGAATCGGCATGGCAAAGCATTGAGATTTTGCTAGCTTCAGGTCTCAAGTCATCAATGGTCACTTGTAAATAGTGATTGTTAAAAACCTGGAGGTGAGAAAACAATTCAACTGTTAGTTGGCTGGCATGTCAGAACAATCAAGCAGGCCCAGGCATTTCATTACAAAAAAAATCAAACACCTGGCCCTGGTTATCAACTCACATGATAGCACCATGCTCTTTTCTAGCCCTTTTCATCCACAGATATCAAAGCACCTAAAAATACATCAGCACCACTATTTGCATTTTGTAGATGGGAAAACTGAGGTCTTGGGAGGTGAATGAATGTGTTTGAGGCAACCCAAACACAGAACCCAGGACCCAAACCAGCACTGTAGCAAGCAGTCACGAGGCCTCATCTGGACACAGTTTGGTGTATACCAGCCAAGGCGGCTCTACAAATGAAATGATCATTGGCTACTGCAGCTCCACAGCAAGGTACAAAACCATAAGCTTTATCAATCAGGACTCTGGCCTGGATTAAACACACTTCTGTGCAGAGAATTAACACAAGCAGGGCTGGAACAGGCTTTAAGTGGCATGTAAAGCCTGTTCCTGCCCTGCTTGGGTTAATTCTCTGCACAGAAGTGTGTTTAATCCAGGCCAGAGTCCTGATTGATAAAACTTATGGATCATGTCATTTATAGAGACGTGGGGATTAGCACTTTCACAACCATAGTCGTAAGGGGATGTATCCAGCCAAGCTGAGGACCAGGCCTTCATACCGGCAGCAGAAATGGTATGTGACTTTCAAAAGCCACTTCCAAATGCATGAATTTCCAGCGCTGTTCAGAGGCTTCCAGTCCATGCAGTGCCTTTAGCACAGCTAGCATGCTTGCAGGCTGGTTTGAGCCTTGCTTTAATTACCAGGTGAAGGTGCAATGGTGCCTGCTTCGAGGAGGAGAGCTGCAGAGTCAATGCAGACAGATGCTCTTGTTTTTGGGGGGTGGGGAGGACTCTGACAGGGATGCCACACAACGGCATTTCTCAGGGAGCGAATACACTTAGTTACAACAACAGACCCTAAAGCACCTAAACGGTGAACCTGAGTAACAGGAGCAGGCAAAGTGGGGGTTAATGGGCCAGTCCTCCATCAGCAAACACCACCTTTGCATTGTTGCTATACAAAAGGCTATTGGGGAGTGGGTGCTCTGTTACAGAGTTGTATAAGCAAGATGAGGAATTGCTACAGAAGGCATTTCCTCCTCCTTAAGGGAGATCTGCACACACAGGGCCACTACTACCTATCAGTCTACGGGCACTTCACCACCTCATGGTGACCAGTGGAATAAAACTACATGGATGATGCACTGAGAGAGAAGGTGAAGGGCAAGGGTGTGTTAGCATGCATTTATTGTCCTGACCTCCGGTTAATGGAGTTTCACGTGGTGGTAATTTAAATGTGCCGGTTCTGAACCGTCTGTTCGATTCCAGCAGGTTATTGCTAGTCCCTGCTCCGAAAACTCACCTTAGTCACTGATGCAGGACAGATAGTAAAGGGTTCCCTCATGTTCACTGCCTCTAGCTTCATCCCCACTGTGAAGAAGTGGCTCCTCAAATCAGCATGATCCTGCGTGCAGAGAGAGGAGACAAACCACAACCTGTGCATCAGTCTCACTGTCCGCCAGCTGAGGAGTTATTAAGGGGAAGTGCCCTGGTGTTTTATTGTACATAGAGGCCGCTTGCCTGAGTTAATGAATTTGCCTGCATTTCCTCCCATATCTAATTAACATGCTGGTCTGCAGCTTTGATCGCTTTCTCCGGGCGGACTGTTTTAACAAAAATCAGAATTGGAGTGGAAACTTTTAACGCTAACTAGGAGTGGAGGAGGGGAGTTCACATACGGATGTCACGGGGGGTGGGGGGGGGGAGTAATTCTGCGCCAAACCCTCCATTCCTCAAGCAGCCCCAGCTGCCACTGGTTTCACCTGTGGTTTCTAAATGGATCCCAGCAGGTCCTGATCCTGAGAGGTGAGCTCTTGAGCTGATCGTGGTGACCATGAGCTCTTCATTCACACAAAGGCCCCCTCTGGCAGTACACTGGGATCTTAACCAGTGCAACCATGGCCTCTTGGGGAATATCTCCCACCTAGAATCTCCTTACAGGGTGTAAGGGCCCAGCTCATCAGGATGCACGGTGGGGTAAAGCACAGGTGAGGAGCATGGCAGGAGTGTGACCAGGGAAAACATCACATTGCACTAAGGCTTTTCTGCTTCTCAGAGCCCATATCCTAAGGCCAAACACAGATTAGAAAAGTCCTGATCAACTCTGTGTTAAGCTGGGGACTGGGCAGACTCCTCCATGGCACCAGAAGACACAAAGAGCAAAGGTGGCTTAAAGATGCATCTGAACCCTTCCCCTACCCTGTCCCTGTTTCCAAGGATCAAGGCCAGGGAGCAAAATCATGCCCACTAGCAGCTGAGATATGGGAAGGCACTTGCTTCCGGTTGCTTTCTGGGCATAACTCAAGGTGCTGGTATTGATCTATATGGACATAAGCAGTCTGGGCCCTACATGTCTAAGGGACCACCTTCTCCATGATGTTGTGATCCCTAAAGTCAGCTGAGAGCAACCTCCTGCAAGTACCATCTGTGCACCAAGTTCATTTGGCCAAAACCTTTGGGAGGTCGTTCTTTGTAGTTTCTTCTCAGCATTGAAAACGCCCCTTGTGGTCCATTAGAGCCCAAGCCTGGACATCTTCCAAAAGCAGTGGAAAAACGTTTTATTTGGGCAGGATTAAGTTTTGGAGCACTGCCTGGAGTATCAACTCTATTACATATTATTTAATTTTAATATTTTTATCTGTCTTTATAATTCATCGGGGGGGGGGGGGGTTTATAAGTGAACCCAAGCCTTTTTTGGGAGGGTAGCATATAAATCTAGCAAACAAATGAACAGATGCAACACCACTTGTTATAGTCGTTACAAGCTGTGTGAACAAAAGGGCAGAAGGTGGCCCTAAAAGAGCCGCCTGAATTTGTGCATGTGAGATTTAGGGGGGGCAGGGGGCCAAAAATGTCCGTTTGGGGGTTGCCAAAATGTCCAGGGAATTCATTTCTAACAAGAATCAGGTGTTTGCTCTTAAAATCTCAGCCAAACTCAAATGATGCCATGGATTTATCTTGCTCAAGACTCCAGCAGATCTGTTTCCCATTATGTATTATATATACTCTTGACAAAAAATGACATCAGAGGTATAATCCCAAGGAATAATTTAGCCTACGGATCACATTTCAGTTGTATTAGAGGGGCAGCGTTCTCCCTTCTGCCGTGAGACAGTATCTCTGAACCATCCATGTATTCACCAGCACAGCCCCTGGAAAAGTGGCATTATTGTATTTTAAAAAATGCACTGGACTCCAAATTGCACAGGGAAAACTTACCATCTAACAGCAGCTGGCAATGTCATTCCATTTACCTTCACCGCTATACATTATATTCTTGTCCTAAAGTGGTTTTATATTGATTCAACATTGTGGGTCATTATTTTTCCCCCCTAGAACTGTCTTTACTTGTAGATTTAACAGCTTCTATTTTGAGGAACTTATGTTTCTAGTGACACTAGAAAAAGGATTTCACAACCTTCATCACAGGCTGAAGAATCGCTGTTTTTAATCTTACTCATCTTTGCACTCCTACAATACCTTTTATCCGAGGATCAAAAAGTACTCTAAAAATCTTAATGGATTTAGCTTCACTGCAGGGCAGGCATTATGATTGCCATTACATATACAGGAAAACTGAGGAAGTTTACATTAATTGCCCAAAGCTACTCAGTGAATTAGTGGCTGAGAAAGAAATAGAGCCCAGGGGTCCTTGATGCCGCTGTATCTTTGAAGCCATACAACTTTCTGGTTAGCGCTCTCCAAAGCAGCACATCAATCTTGCTCACTCTTAAAGGCTGAGAGTCTACCGCTATCTGCATATGCTGGGCATGTCTACACATGCATTAATGCAGTGCAATTACGACATGTTAAATTTAGTACCTGTAATAACAGGTACTAACTTAATGCACTGTAATCGGCACCATTGAGCAATAATGCCGGTGCACATCTTTTACGTGATGTTAATGCACAGTAGACTAATTCTACTCTGCATTAGCATGGCTTTCACCGTGATGCACTAATGCACAGTACGATTAGTCTACTGCACCTCTAGCGTCTCGTGTAAATGTGCCCACCGAGCAAGGCTTTATTTTAAGAGTGGCCCCACTGACTTCATTAGGGTGGCAGGAGGGATGCAAAACTCAGACCCAACTGCAGTTCTAAATTTTGTAGTCCTTCCAATGCAGGAGCACCAAGACTATGTCCAGTAGAGATACAGGGTCAGTGGTAAGCTTTGGAATTGCATTTTGAACACCCCAGCCCTTTGATTCAGATTATGAAGACAGGGACCCTTTTGTTACATGCATATCTGGAACTAGGTTTAGATTGCAACACCTTCCTCTCCGACCTAGGGTATGGTTCAAGTCCATCACAAGCTTCAGCACCATTCAAGACCAGATCATGGAAAGCAGCTGAGCACATACTTACACTTTAAATGCTTAACATGGGGAATCTACATGCTGACCTCAGTGGAGCTACTAATATGCTTAAAGGCCAGTCCATGTTTGCATGTTTTCCTAATCAAGAATGAAATATCTAAATACACTGCTTAGCATTTTCTACATAAGACCATAAGAAATGTCCTACTGGGTTAGCCCACAGATCCATCTAGCCCACTATCCTACATCTCACAATGGCACATGGTGGATGCTGAAGGGGAGGGTATTTAAGCAAAGCCTATCCAGATTGGTCTGTCCCCTACCCCCTCTCCTCTCAGCATTCAAGACTAGGTAGTCCTCACTTGGAAGCTGCACCCTAAAGATCATCCTCCATGACCATGCCAAATCCCCTTTGAACCCAGGTCTAAAAACATTTCTTTAGTTCTATTTTGTTGCTTTTCTAAAAGAAAAAATAATTCAAAATCAAAAAGATGCTATAAAAATATCTAATAATAGCTAAAGTAGTTTTATTTCACAAGATATTAAATTCCACTTCTTCATGCTGTTGAGGGCATTCACTATCTTATCTCTGTCTTACTTCGTGACCTATCACTAGCACATCGGAGCATCTTCTACATAAGAATAAATAATGAAGGTCCTAGGAGACTTCATGGAATATATGACACTTCGCTCATCTTTGGAGTCACAATATTAAGAGCCGGGATTTTGGGGGGGAGGATAGGATTGGAAGGATGCTACAAGAAAGGTGCTGTCGATGATGAATGGCATGTATCTAATTTTTCTGAGATTCTTCTTGATTCTAAGATTTTTTTCTTGGAAAAGAAGCCTTTCCACCATCCGCTGAGATGGGTAAGACCCCCAACACTTATGAAACAATATCATCACTCTTCACAAAAAAGAAGAAGAGCTGTATAATGCATTTTTACCGCTGAAATAGGGAAAAAAGAAATTAAAGATCCAAAATACAAGCCCTCCAGTTCCAGTGCACTGATTGCCTCGGTCCACAGGGAATTAGTTAGGATATGGCATATGCTTCTGTTCAAAACTCCAATTAATTTACATAATTTCTAAGAATAGGTTTCACTGAAGTGAAAGGAAAGCTTTTAATTAGTATTAGACTCAAATTGATACACTGTATAATGAACTGCTCTCTAATTCCTTTATGCACAGTGCTATGAGAAATACTCTGTTAAAAATGGGGGGAAAAACGGCTTTCCATCCAGCTGTGTGCTGAGTCTTCTCTCTGAGTTTATTTCCTTTCCTAAGGAAGGCCAAGCACTTCCATGCCTCTACTGTCTGTTTAAGCCCCCATTAAGGAGCCTGTACCAATGCTTCCAACTTGCAGAAAAACATGCAACAATTATAACGAGTGTTTTGGGTGTCCCATGAAATGGAGCAGACCTTCCACCACCTCTACGCTGAGAAGCATGTCCCACTCCCTCTCTCCCACCCTGGGCAGGCCAAATTTTGGAGATCAGCTGCTTTAGACAGCACCAGACTCCACCTTGGGCATGCCTGTGTGCACATGCTAGTAGCTCTTTTAAGGTAGCTACACCTCCTTGCTGCTGGGGTTTCACCCACGCAACGTGGGGATGAATGGGTTGGGAGTATTTCTTCACCAAACTTCTGGGCTCAGTAGGGGATGTGGCATCGACAAGTCCCTACTGTCTGTCCCCAGTCAGGGCTGGTGCATAAATCAGCCCCAGAAGCAGATCAGAGAGCCCATGCCAATTCACAATCCCATCCCTGTTCCCCCATCTCTTGAGTAAAATTATTTCACCCTGGGCATGTCTACACATGCATTAATGTGCAATAGTTACTGTGCATTTAGTTTAGTACTTGCTTACAAAACACGCAGTAATTATCGTTACTGCGCAGTACCACTGGCTAACAGCGTCTTTGTGATGCTTATTGCATAGTAGCCTAATGCTACTGTGCAGTAGCGATTAGCACAGGTTTTGCCCAGCCTGCTACTGCACAGTGTTATTAGGCTAATGCGCATTAAGTGTCTCCCGTAGACGCGCCCCCTGTGGAGTAGCTCCTTCTTTCTGTGTACCTATTCTGG